TTCTTTTTGTTCGATATAACGTAGGATTTTTGAAGGATAGGGATCCTGCCAAATTCCTAAAAGTAGGCACACAAACGAATACACAGAACGTTGCGTTTATAGTAACTGAAAATTTTCGTTAAATATATTACAGTAGAAACATGCTTTAACAATTTAGATATTCAAAGATATATATATTAGAAATGTATAGACAATATACATTTCTAATTTTCTCAATTCCTTACTCATATAATCCAGTATTTAAAAAAGTATATAATAATAAAGATCGTTTTAAAGACATTATATTAGATACTGGTGTTGACTTAACAAAGATACTTAGTTAAAAATTACAGGTGAACACATTATTTCCAAAGCATTACACATTAATGAAGTTTATTAATCTGAAAATGGCACCTTGCGTCTTTAAAGATAGCGCCATGTAAAGATTACGGGATCTAAACGTGACGATGTAGATACAATTTGACACAAATAAAAGTGTTTTTTTTTTTGCTTTATAGTCCGCTGCCGGCGAAGGCGCTGCGATCATCAGCGTTCAGCGCGAAGTACCATTCCACGAAAGCAATTCGATTAGAATTTAATTCGAATTTGCTAGTTTCAAAAATAGCAACAAACATTTTCATTTCAGTTCTTTTACTGAAATATAAAAACCCTTTAGTATCTACATCACACCTATTTTTTTAATCTGGATACATTGACAAACGATTCGAAAAAAGTTAAACTAAATATTATGGAAAAAACGTTTAGAGTAGATTGTTCACCATGCAGTTATTATGCATTTAAATATCGAAAATATGAGCTAATTTACTGCAACAAAACATACCAGTAGGCACTATTCTCACTGTGGTTCAACTAGCTGAAATTCTAGGACACAAAATATTCATCTCAAGTTTATCGCAACATTTCGCATATATATGTATATACATAGTTCGTACCCGTTTTAGTACGATAAAAATATTTACATTCGCGCATAGTTGGAGTATAACATTTCTATTAGGTTACTACCTAAAAGTATAGGATAACTACGACAAAATTATTAATCGTAAACAGGCGACTTACAAATAAATGGACGACGGGTCTAATACAAAAACCACGAAAAAAATGTCCCAAGTCAACCTATTCGAAATTTAAATTGTTATGTCATCGCAGTATCGCGCTGTCCGTAGAACAAATGAAGACTAAAGCGGAGTGTCGCGCTCTGTATACGATTTTAGCGCCTTACAAGTGCGGACACTTTTTAGCGCGGACCCGACGTCCATATAATTGTAACTCAATGTAAACAGGTAATATTTTTGGAATTTAAACAGTGCTAAGCTTGGCTTGAACTCCCGTTCTCCATCCGCGACATCCGTCCGAAACAATTAGTGTCAAATAAATAACACTCGACCAAATCAAAACACAATGTCAAGTATGAAGCTTCATTCGCATATGGGTCTTTGAATTCGGTGGTATATTACTTATTTGACAGTAATTGTTTCGGACGGATGTCGGGCGGAGAAGGGGAGTAGTCCCCGGGATCCTTGACATGTGACATTTTATTGAATTCATGTAACGAATAGATACTAACTTTTTTATTCTTTATTTATTTTGAGACTTTGATCATTATTGAACATGTCAGCCCCGTATAAGGCCTTAGATTTTTCGAACAAACCCTTTGCAGGTTCCTTGGTCACGGTTATTTGAGATAGAAGTCATTAACAGTTATGTCAAATATTAATGCAAACCACCCTATTTTCTGTACTTGCAAAAGTTATTAATTACCTGTTTCGTTACAATTGTTTTTAAAGAATATTATATTTTATTTTAACAATGATGTTTTATTAAATTAAATTTATTATGTTTAATAAGAGCAATTAACAAACTAAGTACTACTACTAGTACTGCAGTCTCATGCCAGCTTGGGATTTTTCATCAGAGGAAATATTGAATCCCAAACTCGTGGTATTGAGAAACCCTGTTGAAATTAAGACTTTTTTAAATTTCAATGACCTCTTGCATCATCCTGGGTAGATCAAGGACCTTTTTTTTGCATTGATCTTGGATATGTCGAAATTGATTTAATGTGTAGGTTTATCGACTGCAATTTTTTTTACGCGAGTGTTTTACATTAGCTATATGTTCCAAAGAACAAAACGCGGGAAATACTTCGCTTCGTTTGTCCAATATAAGAGAAACCACACTCGCAGTCAAGCTTGTAAACTTCTACATCCCGTAAGGGGATGTCACATTTCAGGGGTAAATTTCTAGGGAAATCATTCTCAGGGGCGTGAAAGGCGTATGCCAAAGGACTCTTCGGATCGTGTCTGTTGGTGGTTTTACGCCTGTGACGTTGGCGTGGAATCTCCAACTTGTTTGCACGTTATGCTTGTCGGGGAACTTCAGCAAATGATTACTGTCACAGATGCCATGCGCTCTCTGAACCATTAATGTACCTGTATGGGTTTTCTTTCTAAACACTGTATGGCCTAATGTGTTCTTAGAATTTCTTTTAATTGAGACATTTAATTGTAATAATATTTGACATAACTGGTTGATGACTTTACCATCTCAGTCAGCCGTGACCATGGAACCTGTAAAGGGCCTGAAACGTTGCATTGGTTTGTTTAAAAAAAAATCCTTTTAGTTTGGATCAAAAACTTCAAAACGCAATTAAATTATTGCAAAATCCTTGATTTTCATATACGTAGGTACTTTTATAGTCATACTTCCATAGTTAACATTAGATAATAACAATCTATGAAGACACTGAAAGAAATTTGTTACATGAATACCGCAAAATGTGACAGTCATAATATACTACAATGAATACCAAACACGAAAAGTTCTTAAGATTGCAAAAGTTAGATGTCATTACAGACTACAGAACTACGTAAATAAATTTATATGCTGTGCTGTTTTACTATGCACATTTTATAAGAAATTCTGCTTGTATATACGTATACAGGATGTTAACGTAATTATGTTACGCCCCATTCGGGCGATAACACTTTACACGAACACTCACTATGTGAACTCTGACGATGCAATATCTTATACGTAAAACCATGGCATAATAAGACAAGTAACTCAATACAAAAGTACGAACGTGGCAGTGCACTCGAGCGCAGGTCTCAAGAGGACTTACAGAATTCAAGTTTTAAATGTTTATATGTCAAATTTGTTTATATATTTTATAAATGTATTGTTATGTATATGCAAACTTGTATTTCATTTCTATTTCATGATTATACTTCCATAACACTAATGCGCGACCCTAGTTAAAATATCAAAATATCAAGGTTCTTCAAACTAACATGCGAATATTGTAATAAAAATCAAATTATGTTTTGCAAACTGTAGGTACAATTAAAATGATAATGTGACACCCCTGCGCTGGGAGCGACGTATTGATGCGCCAAATATGCGAGAGTTGGGCTCATTCAGAGTGCAGACGCGGGCGCGGTGGCGGGTGCGGACGCGCAGGTCTTGGCGTCTTCTCTTTCACAGGACTGTACTGCACCGAAGCGGCTATGGACGGGTAAATCCATAATCACGTCGAAATCGCAAACAGACGCTAGACCAAGCACAGTAAAAGGTGCGGGTGAACCGAGCCAATAGATCTAAAGGCACGGCGCCCGCCTCGAGGCAGGCGCCGGCGTGCGCAGCCACTGTGAACGCAACGAGCTTCTACGTACACGCCGCCACTCTGAATAAGGCCTAACCCACTACTTGACCTAGTACACCATGATAAATATAACGACACCATGATAACGACATACGAAACAAGAGACAAACATGTTTAGATTTGTTTACTAGCTCTACACTTGATAAAATACTAACGAAGAAATTTGGAAAAAATAATTCAATAAGTGTGTGGCAGTTAAATCGACAGCCCCACCGAATAAACGTGTATAATACGTAATATACATACATATATATACACGTTTACACGACCATCGAAATGGCTTCATCAGGCATTCAACTAAAGGCCAAGACATTTCACTCAACGGCGCTTGTGCCAATCGATTATTGTTATCAAAAATATCTATTTCGGGTAATCGACAAGAGTTCTTGTTTGATCTTTCTCCCAGATTTTGTAGTCAACTATAAATTTCGAAATATATTATGTACTGTTACAAGGCGATAGTTCTCCATAAATGTACGGATAATGGCACATCAGACTACACATTTTTGTTCGAAAATCGCCCCCAGTGCAACGGAACAAGATACGTCAATGTGTAGCTTGATGTGCTGGCGTGTGTACCAAAGAATAACGTTACTGACTTTCCTTAAAATTATTCATTACCAGCTATACTTAATTAACGATTGCAATAAAAATAGGCAAATATTCACATTATTTTTATATAAACACTAAAATGCGAAATTAATCTATGAAAAGTATAAGCAAAAATAAATATCGTTCAAAAACAGATGTTTGTACAACGAATATTACGTACTACAATCGCGGTCAAACAAATAAATCCACAATTACGACCGCGCGGTGATCGATCGTAACTACATGTGTACTAACATTAGTTACATACAAGCGATCGCCATCGCAGACATAATTGTTTTTGATTTCACCTAGTGCATTGCATATTAATTCTATTAATTGGCTTTATAGCATAGCAAAATAACTTAACGCAAATAGAACATGACTTCATTACTATATTATGTTATTATTTATTTAAACACTAAAATATCGATGTAAATTTAAACACAGCAACAAAATGTACATCATAGCGATAAATGTCCAAAATGGTTTCGGAAATAAATAACCAAATCGTTCATCATTAATTTATGTTTTTCAGTAAAATATTTTTACAATACATACATAAAACATTTCATTCTAAATAGTTATTTGCGTCTTTGAACAACTTTGGACGAACATGTACTGATAAAAGCAATGAAACAGCATTTTTAATCGAACGTTGATATAACCAACGTTGGTAGAAATTTGAATGTTATTGCCCAAAAATACAACGCGTATGTCGACTAAAATTAATTAACGGAATGTGAAAGATTACACAACTAGAAAAAAAAGTGGTAATCGTTATAAATAATAAAAACTTTAATTACACATTAATTTCCATACAAAGAGCTAAAATACAATTTGAAGCGCAAATATACATACAAAACCATTACAAAAATAAGAAATTAGCTTTCTGACAATTTTCGTTCAGCAATGGAAGTCGCCAGACTGGTTATGACGACACAAACTTATGAACCACAATCTTAATAATAAAATGGCACAGTGGTTTTGTCGTATATTTTGGACGTCTAATTTAATTCGTTAAAAATAAATAAGTTACAAAATATATTTACTATACTTCAATCAGCCGCATATATTAACGCGTATCATTTAATATTACACATAGAGTGCAGACGACTATTTACGTGCTGAATAATTTACATAGTATTATTTATAGGGCCACATAGCGAAGTACCTTGAGTTTAATCACTTGCTCTAAAATGAACGGTTATTCAAATAAATACAATATTCCGAAAGTAGAATTATGAGGTGACCAAATTTGAAGCACATTAATGCAAGTAGATATATTAGATTGACGCCACTTCAGATAAGAGCTGCCAAATATAGACATTTGACATGATCTGCCTTCAAAAAGTGAAGTGTTTACAGATCTTTCGGCCCTCGTTCCAGCCATCTATAGGCTATTATTTGTAACCCTAAAAAATTTAAGACCCTAATATGCAACAGAATTGTGACTTATATACGTGGTTTATTAATATTTGTTAAAATGCTTTGCACTTCAATACACAAAATTATAAGGTGGCATATCTCACACGTCCGTTCTCCTGCTTGTTGATGTGAGAATCGGCTATTGATTGTACAAATTAATCATTTATTGTCCTGATACGTATGTGAAAATCTACGTAAGATGTAAACTTAAGAAGTATACAACTTTTTTTCTGCCCTTTCGACGAGTTCTTTTAGCTTATTATCTACATTAACATTCAGGTCAGCACGTGGTTAACTTTACATAATAAAATTCGTTTTATGTATTAACACTAACATACAGCTTGAGACTAAATTCTCGCACACTGTTAAACAGACGTTATTATTGCAATTCTCACTGTAGATTTCAATAAAATTTGTCAATAATGAAACTTTTAAATTTATTTGTATACGATTAACGGTGCGTTTCTTACATTTACGACACATTAATTCTAGACAACACAGAAATTATTCGACAATTATTTACGGGGTTTATAATAAGGAATATTTGTTTCAACTCCTAACGCCACGAGTTCGTAACAATTTTTTTAGAAATCTAATACAGATTATTTTTAAAATTGTTTTAGCTAATATCACCGGCATGAGTAGCACGAGGAATAGGCAAAAATATTAGCGTCTAAAATCCTCTAGCACTGCGGGGAGATGTTTTAAATCTAGAGATACAATAACAACTTCAACTGCTTGAAGTCATTCTACACTTAAACAGAAACCGTTCTAAAGAGGTGCCGTCACACCCGAGTATCCTTAACTGAGCATTTTGTACTGTTTGATAGATTCATTTCAGTGGTAAACACTATCACATAGCCAAAAAAATGTACTAGTATATTTTATACTCGTATGAAAACAAAAATTGCAATATAGAAGACAGATCGATGACGTAACAGATCATGTACATTTACATAATTATAAGGACAAAACATAACTAGAAACCGTTTGTGCTAATAACAAAGCAAATGTGGCAATAAACACAAATAGTAACATGATTAAACGAACATATAAAATGTGGTGTAGTTATTGCTTATTTAGATTGCTTTTTGAGAATTAAATATATTTGATAGCATAAATTCAATCTAATGCATTCTAGTAAATATCTAATATACTTTATTTTTGTGGTGCGCATTTTTTTTATAATTCTATAAATCTTTTTGACATTCATAATGTGACAATTTACAGAAAAGATTCATTTACAACAATTTCGAGATTATGTATCCTCTAATTTAAAATTTATCTTGGTTTTTAAATGCACATTAAATAAGTCTATGCATATTCGATAAGAGCCTAATTAATTACAGGTCTATGTTTATTCGAATTTGACTCTGAGTATAAGTACCTCTTGTTTTATACCTACTCGAGAAACATTAACAGCGGCGTAGGAGACAGTTTACCGAAACATACTAAAAGTAAAAAAGTATGTACTTTGTTAAGTTACTTTCACATACAACGACGAGGTAAAATTGACAATCGGGCCACGATCAACGTTGCTCTGATGACAAGTCAATATTTTAATCAAAATTTATTCATTTCGTTTTCGGTACACCGTCACTTAAGCCCCAAACAAGTATTAAGTACTTCCAGATGGCGTTACTTGGTTTCCTAACTGTATTACTTAAGGTCGTACAATTCCAAATGCGAGTCGATGTAATGTTGTGTTATGATTCGTCCGGCATCAACTACCGGAGTGAGCAGTTCCTCAGAGGGAACTTGGATTCTGATCCTGTTGTCAGATGGTAGGTTCGAGGCACCATTGCTGTAGATGCCCAGAGAGACCGGCTTGTGGTGTTCTTCGTATTTCGACGGGCTGACTGGTTGCAAATGTGACGGGCTGGCGGATAGCGGGTTATAAGTGACATGTATGCGAACAACATCGTCGGACAGAGGTGACACCGAGAGTGGATGGGGCGTGGCCCGTGGCGTAGAATGCGTTGTGGACGGCGCCCTCTGTATGCTCATTCCGCAAATACCTGATCTAAAAGTACAAAAAATAACATTAGTAAACTAAATGTTTAAAATAACGTGACCCCTTACAAAAACATATAATATATGAAAATTATGAAATGAATTATCGTTATCTTATTAATTTAAAAAAAAGTTAAATTTTCGTCATGACTATGCATCGACGCCAAAGTTTGACCGAGGAATCATCTTCTATTTAAGATCATTGCTCTAGGCGGTGTAGCACCCTCGAAACCATATTTTTAAGTTCTTTCCAAGACCCCCTTTGACGACTGCCTATTATCTTGTCGTACGTCGTATTCCTTTGACCTCCGTTTCTTTGATATTTACAACAGAATGGTCGTGTTGCAGAGGTGCGAGGAAGAGTCTACATCTACATAAAAAATCTCACCCATCTGACCCAGTGCCGTCGTCGCTGACGTTGCTGTGCGTATCGAGGGAGTTGTCAGGCGCATGGGAGCGGCCGCTCGAAAACACACTCAGGTCCGCTGTGCTGGTTACGCTGGTATCCGCCAGAGACCGCCGCGATCCCAGCGCTGACACCGAATCGTCACACCGAACGCCACTCACTAGGCCGCTATGCTCTGGAAACGCAAACCAAAATCAGTCCACCCCCCCAGTTACCGTACAATAATCATTAGGTATACCACATCTTTACATATTGAATTATTTACAATTGTATCAGCAAATCTAAAATATCAAGACACGTTTGCAAATTATTAGCACAAACATTATGTATTAACCAACGTAGTACTTCAAATATAAGCAAATGTTACACATAAAAACATGCCAAATAATCATTGAACAGTTACCTTTATAGCGCCGACGCTATTATTAAGGACACATTCACAAGCAAACAAAATGGTAATAATGTGCCACAATATGCACATGCAAAATAATAATAATGTAAAGCAAACCTCTGCTCAGAAGCTTGATAACGAGATCACAAATAATATTGCCCATTATCGTAACACACTTCATTTATTATGTAAAACATTGATAAGTTAATTAACATATTTATTCCTTCTTTTCCTTACATTTCTATTATTAACTAGGTATCCTACAGAGCTTTCATCGCATTTTGAGGTTAAGATAGACTTCAGGTTCGTCTGACTTCTTCTTTTAGGGGAATCCTTTAGGATATCCATGGACGCCTCTGACGCGTGGAGGGGAAAGTCGTTAGGTAATTCCGACTCTGAAGACAATAAAGGTGGAGTAAGCGGCAGTTGGGAGTGCGAAATGGGACATTGGTCTCTGGGTGCTCGTAAATATCCTACTATTAGAGGATTTATATAATTACAAAAGGCAGTAAACATGCTGAGCCACGGCAGCTGTTTAAATCACTTGTATTGCTTTCGCGAAAATTTGCGTTTAATTTAGTGTAAAAGTATTAGTTTGAATTTATATTTTAAAAATGATCGTGGTGTAAGTTTAAATAATCCGATCACGTGATTTTGTAATGCTGTTAACTAAAAGCAGTACTTAATATACGCTGTTCTACTTTTCTACGGTGATATATAAATTTATCTAGAACGTACCATAAACGACTGATATCGATATGTGTTTACTCTAATTATTGTTGTTCTTCATACAACCACGGGCGGCAAAACTAAAAATAAAACAAGATTTGTGAAATTTCACATCTAGGTTATTTCACAAATTTCTCGTTTCTTTTCTGTACCCAATACACGCTACAAAATCTGACAACTAGACTTTCTTACTAACAATAAAATACGCATTACAAACATAAATTTTATTTATTAACAATTTTGATGTTCCGATTTTGCATTTTCAACGGTTATCTATCTACTTATATTAACTGGAAATCTTAGTGTCAATAAAAACTAAAAAAAATTATGCGATTGTATGCAATTATAATACAATTTACAAAATCGGATGATAGGGGTGGGTTTACGCAACAACGCGAAATAATCAACAATTATAATTATATCGATATCAAGATTTGAGCAGAGATTCGTATAGCACAAAACAGAGATAGATTGTAGCTTTCGCAAAAAATACGTGTCCTAATCTAAACATTAGAATTTGAGAATGAGCGTTCGGTACGAAATTAATTTAGATATGGTGTGGTGAAAACAATTTTATGAGAATTTGGAAAAATTATTAACAAAATATAGTTAATTACCCGATGTGTGAAAAGCAGTGATACCCTAGTTGGGAAACATTTGCCTTCATGCAGGAGGTTCGATTCCGGGCACAGGCCTATAGCTCTGAATATGTTAGTTCAATCGATGGGTTTCATGTTAAGAATACTAAATGTCACTTAAACAGCAAAACATCATGATGAAACCAGTATGTCGGAGGTTTATAAAGACATGAAAGTCCCAACCCGCTCTTGTCCCAGCGCGTGGTAAAATGGCCGAAAGACCCGTGCCCAGCTATCAGACGTATTTGAGTGATACAGACAGATGTGTACAGACGCAGCAAGCAAGTAGGTATAGTCTTAAGACCCGAGGAGAGCTGGCAAAAAGTAGAGAGAAATGTTACTGAATTTCGCGATATTGAAATCGGAATATTGCAAAGATAATCCTTACGAAACTTCGAAAGATTTAATATAGAAGCAAAATACTTTTATTGTATTAACCGTAATAAAGGAAATGTTATTGAAAACCGCTGAATTAAAAATATATAATTTGTATAGTCCATCACCCCAATAAAATGTAGTTTGTACTACACTTTACTCAAAGAATCTCCTCAACATCTTAAGGAACGGCTAGTTCATGCAAAATTTTCTTTTTGTGTTACTCATAACATAAACCCACCTCCGTACCACCAATCCATGCTAGTGTAAATATTCCAATCAGATTCTATACAAAATATGAACAAAAATATTTGAAGCCAATGTACTGTGGCAAGTTATAGTGGGAGAACAAGTAAAATTTCGTAAGCAAATTTAGCCATCTTGAAATTATCCTGATTATGTAAGCTTTAATTCTAGGGTCGGCGGACTAAAGCACATAAGTGAAAAAAGTGCTTCATTTGTTAATATATAATTATATACTTTTTTGTGTTGTGTCCATGGCATCCGTGACACAGGGTTTCCCTAGTGCGGGGCTATGTTGTTTGTGGGTGTGTGTGTGTTAATTTGAGTAACAAATTAATTTGACTTATGAGCTTCAGCCGATAGATGTATTAATTATTAAATTAATGATGTTGGATTTTGACTTAGGTGCTTTAGTCTGCCGACCCTAGAATTTACGAATGCGTCACACGTGACATGACAACGATCGCAATATCTGACACATTCAGCCTTATGCACTAGAAAAACAAACAACGTAGTGCTATTTGGGGTAAACCTTTCCAAACAGTATATCACTATAATAGGTGTAATGTAATAAATTTCAAGTGACCAGACATTTGCATTGAACTTATTACAATGCACGTTTCTCTGTGGCAAGAAATTAAAAGCTTCATTCTCAAACATTTTATACCAAATAGCCAAATTATTTACGATACACGAATCATTCTAGATGCATGAATAAGTAACATCCATAAATATAGAACAACAATAAAATCTATTTACAAATCTAGCAAAGTGATAAATAAATGCAACTTTAACTATAATAAATGATTGATTGTATGTAGTGATTGTGACCGTAAAAACATCTTAGAATACTAAATAAATGCATTTCGTTTAAAAGGTTGCTACTGTTTAATTTTTTTATTAGGATTGTAGTGTCACTTTTGATTTGTACTTGAACTGAGAAAAATAATACTTGAAGAAAATAACCATTACACATATTTCCAAGTATTTTTAAAAAATAACAATCAGTAGAAATATAGGTTAACACTTCACGAGAATTCGGATCCGACCCTTAAATCCTCAAGGATTGGTGCAATAAAATCATTCAACATCATGCAACGCAAATTAACACATATACCTACTTACAAAATTAAAACCTACGTCCGTCTGTTTTCCAAAGACAGTAATTTCATAGTTTCATTATTAAGATCGTGTCTACCAGTCCAGTACAGTCTTATTATAAATGGCTTTGCAAACGGACGAATCTCATAGATGCGTGAATTCGTCTGAGTTTAGGCTTTCGTCAGATGTAGTAGGCGGTGTTGCCTCTAAATTACCTGAGACTGTGTCGCTTTGGGATACCCGCAACTCTTGTATGTCCAAGGCAGCTTTCTCGCGTCTGCAAACAAAATGTATGATGATACATAAGTTGTCACGAAATAAAATTAATGATACGTAGACCATTCACAAAAAAAAAGTTTTTGATGTTATAATACACCACTGGTTCACCTTAATATCACAGTTGCTCTTGCTTGTTTCTCAGTTTCTGAGAACTGCTCAGCTCGTTGTCCAATTTTCGACTTGTTGTCTGGCTCCACAAAAACACCAAGCGGCCTTTTGGGCAGTTCGATAGCTGGTGGTGGACCTGGATAGTCTAACTTCGCTCTCTTCAACTCCTCCATCGACCGTTCCAATTGATAGATAACTATGTCATCCTCATATCCAAAATCTTTGTGAAGTTTAACCTATGAATAAAATACAGCCAGTTAAAATAATGTCCAATAACATGAATGCCTATATTAGAACAAACAGAAACCTATGACTCACTTGAATATAATTAACAATAAGATCCATATCGTTCAGCTTCATTATTGCTTTTTTGTGCAATTTGAGTATTGTGTACGCCATTGCGGTTACCACCCTCTCTCCGTCCAGCAAATAAATGTCCCACACACGTAGACACAGGCTAAATGGCACTCTCTCCACGAAACAGACGAAGAACCACTTGAGAGAGTAAAGTATAGCATCCAAACCAAATTTATCAAAATGGTGTTTTAGTTTTGGCATGAACTTTGTGAGTATCTTATCATGATGTTCCAAGAATCTCGTTAATTTGGGGAAACCTTCAATGTATAATCCATGCATTGCATATTTTTTTTCTGCCAGGAGTATAGTAAGAGCCCAGAATGCATCTTCTTCATCCATGTACATAAGTAATACTCCAGCCAGACCTGACATTCCTTGGCAATAGCCAACTTCAGAGTTATACATGCTGTATGCACAAAGAACATTGAACAGTGAGCATTGCTTTTCAGAATATCTTTCTCTGTAAAATTGGTGTTCACGAAATTGTCGGTTTACATCTGAATCTATCTGCCTAACATCTGTAGACCATAACTTGGCTAATCTTAACATCTCTTTATATTTTCCAGGATTTTCAGACTTTATTTGATTGACATCTAATAGTTTGCACCATACTTTTATACGGAGTGAGTTTGGAATGCCTTTGTATATGCGCCTATGAAGTTTCTCCTTTGTCGCCGCGGTGTCCCAAGAGCCGAGCATTTTGACCCATTTCTTTTCTCTTTCAACCTCGATGTTGACCTTTTGCGACGCAGTTTTTTGTGGAAGTCGCTCATCGTGGATGAAGCCATACCTGGAATTATATTATGATACTGCAGAGTCATTATACAAACAAAATTCTATTTTTACTACAGATTACAAATTTAAGTTAAACATTAGTGACCATCATTGCTCTGAACACCATGTCGTTTGTTCAGCATGGCACATTTATCCTATTACAACACGAAATTCGCACAGCAGTACTTCACGAGTAAGCACTAAAAATGCATTTGCACATTCACTTGTCTCAAACACTAATTTCGCAGGATGGCTTAACGGCAAAGTAAGAATCAACATAAAACCAACCAATAAGTTTTTAGAAATAATTAGGAGTATATAAAAAACATGTGTTAACTGAATTCCCTTATAAAGCTAATCAGTGGTATACTGGACAATTACATCAGTCATATATAAAGTAACAACCATGAAACATACCAACGGTTTGCTTATCTTATACTATTTTTATGTGATGCTTCAGAAATGGCAGTGATAAAAACTGTGTTTTGTCTTTATCTTTTTATAAAACTTATATTTCTATGAAAGGATACAAAAAGATACTAAAGGCAATGAAGAATTGGGAATCTTACAATTCTAGGTGTGCATCATATGCACTCTTGCCAATCCTAGTAATAATCATAATTGGGATCAAATTGTTAAGAAAGGATTTTTAGCTAGATCTTGTCATTAAAACAACGAAACTTTTAGATAGGTCTTGTCATTTCATCGACGCCTTATAGATATATTTAAAATACAATAACGATTCGGTAAACAAGGGTGAAACTGAAACATTTGCACCACATCTTTGCATTCCTTCTAATGAGAGTGGGTATCCTCACCTCATTTTGTCGCAGTATATTAGGCCAAGCTCCACCACATTAGGCCAGCGCAAGACTGTACACATTTTGGATGTATTACTAGTGATTTGATGTGAAAAGTATTCTACAATGTTGTTTTACCAGTAAGGCAAGCAATAATTTGTAACTCATGACAAGTATGATCTACTTTTTTGTTTATTTTGCTGTTATAATAATATATCTTGTTGGGACTTGGTACAACAATACTAGATTATATAAATGACAATAGAAAAGAATAGTGTATTAGTATGAACAATGGTGTTAATACTAAAACAAAATTCAGAGCTACAGCTTTAGGTTCAATATAATGTTTCATATCATGAATGTTCAACATCACCATAAGTACAAGTGTGTTGTTTCTGGATTACCTACTTATGAAATTTTAATTTTTTATCAACACACATGGAACTCCAACAACTAAATAATTCTAGTTATGACTGGCTGCTGGTTCTTTTTTCATAAGACTAAAAATTGTAAAAAAACAGTAGAATTACCTATTCAAGAACTGCATTACAGTTTTTGACAATCTCATTATGTATTGTATATTTACAACCTTCAGAATCTAAAAATTCCATTTTGAAAAGGACAGCAAAAGTATGTAACGTGATCTCAAACCAGGGAATTCCCTGTACTATAAGTACCAGCGCAGAGAATAAAAAAGTAACAAGAAATTTCACTCTCCACCCCTTCCTAGCATACCATACTATGCCCCGCATATTACCGTGTTCCATCACGTTGACGGAACGGACACAATGTTATCATCAGCAACCTCAATACAATGCAATTTCATGACAGATTATTTATAGATTATTATTTTATTAAAAGAAAAAGTTTTAGTGTGGGTAACTTATGGTAGTGTTATTCACTTATTAAATCTTTTATTTAAGCTTCTTATTTGACTTAATTTAACTGGTGTAATTTTAATATTTAATAAATAAAATCATTAGTATACATAACGATCATATTATTTTTAAATACAATACAATTATATATGTAATTTCAAGTGTAATTTGCCAATGAAATAAAGATGATTAGAATTTTGAATTTTCGAGTACATTCATTTGCTCTTACAAAGTCACTGTCCATGTAAAACCAGAGAATAAATAAGTCAAGAAAATGATTGATAACCCTATCACTTCACGCCACAGTGCCTTGTTATATATAGTAGTTGTAGGTAAATAAGTTTCTGCTGTTGTATGGAGTGTCTGGAGTGTGACTAGGGCAACAGAATTCACTCTGTAGTATTGTGCAAAACAGCCAGTCCAGTAGGGCTAGTTCTGTAGGCCTATAGAACCAAACAGAATAGATTTAACCTGAGAGCTCCTCGTCCACCATTCATAATGCTGTTGAGCCACCAAGGTCATAACTTGGACCTGTTCAATGCGAAGGTGAATAGGCTTTAGGTGTACACGTGCCATCATTGACCTCATTGTCACTTTCCATCAGGTGAGATGGAGGTCAAATGCATACTTACATTTGAATAAACCAAATAAGGTCAATTCAACCTGACTTTTTGATTTGCATCTTCAAAAAATCAATTACAATTATTAGTTCATTCAATTTAGTAGTTAAATCACTAAATAAATAGATTTTTTGTAACAATTGAATTTCATGGCTACTGATTTTGTTAAAATATATTTGGGCTTTTGTGATTAAGAGGAATTATAAATTCATACTTTACATATATGTATTATATATTTATATCAATCAACTACAATGGAATACAACACTTTAAACCATGAAGAAAATCAGGTCAATGTCCAATTATCATTATTTTACACACAGTAGCCTCCAAGGTTTAACATTATGTTAAACTTTGACAATTTTCTAAACAAAAGTTGATAATCTCCAGTTTACTATGACATTACTTGTGCTATATTGGTAGGGTGTGATTATAAACAATAATAAATGCTTTATGAAACATTTATAACCTCTTACGAACTTGGTGATATGCTTAATAATAATAATAATAATACACACACATACACACACACACACGCAGCCCCGCACTAGGGAAACCCTGTTTGGTGGGTGCCATCCCCAAATTATACACAAATCTCACCCGGTGCAGGTATTGAACCCGGACGGGTATCATTAGGTCACAAATGCAATATACAATTATATGTTATTGTAATGTATTGCAAATCAAACCAGGACTTAGCATAAACGATCTAAAATGCCTGCATACAAAGATGAATAGTCCTTACACGTAATTAAGATATACATCAGATTATTGTTAAAGTTATAATAATACAGATTGTTGGTCCAAAAAAGTCCATACCTGTCGGTCTTATGATACTCTTCAAACTCAGGATCTTCCCAGGGGTCTATCTGCCCAAAAAGGTTCTCTCGACCTCTCTCGTACCTCTGGAAGATACGCTCCCGCTCCTCGGAAGCCCGTGCCAACAGAGCCTCCTCATTCATAACACGGCCTGCCTATGCCACATAACGTTATCTACACTACCGTCTAACTTTTGCTAGAGCAGCAGAGCCCTAACCACAACAAAGGTACTAACACAGTACTGCACAATACTACCTAGTTAATCCACCGTGTCCTATTCCTTCGGCCCATTATAATTTTCTATCACGCCAACGGTATATATGTACTAGTATCACGCCTAAACTTTTTCCAATTCCCGGACGCTATTAGATTTTGACGGGGCTGTTGTCATGTCACTTGGAAATACCTTCATTAAAAGCGTTAAGTAAATGCTTTCGCGCGATCTGAGTGACTGTAATTGACTTTCATTTAATTATCACAATTTGAATGAGCCCTAGTTCTATCTATGAGTTATTTCCATGTAAAAAAAATCATAATATATTACGCCCTTTTTCAATCAAATTAGGAAACGAACGACAGAAAAAGCGAAGGCAGACGAACGAGCGAACCAAAGCACGAGCCACAAACGTACATACACTCTTTGCCACAAACTGCGAACTCTAATCTTCCCAGTTTACGAAAATAGTAACAAAACGCAAAAAGAGCTCATTCAATAGGTTCATCGATCAAAAAAAAGTAATTTTATTGTGAACGAGATTCCTTATTAATTTACATTCTGTAATTAACTTATTCATTGTATAATGAAATTGCAATAAAATATAAATATAGGGTTACCTTTAAAAACGAAACGCTTCGTGACATATGTCTCATTGTCAACATTGCAAGGTTCTTTATAGTCAAAATAATATAAACATTTTCTCGGAAAGCCTTTCCCTTAAGTTTAAAATATTACATTGAATTAAAAAACCTGATTTCAGTTGTTTAAATACTCTACTATTTTATTAAATGTTTGCTGTTATAAATATAAAACTATAATTGATCTATGACCAATGTTTAAGCACGAACTTGATCTATTTTTTTTTAATTAACACTGAAGTGTCAACTACAAAATACTTCTTCCAATGCGGGAAGTGAACTTTGGTTTCTCAACCTCAATTTCTTTTTATTGCGAATAGAACGTACCAACATTATTTATTACCTTCAGCACTTCGCAGCTTGCTGGTAGTGTAGTGGTTGATAATATTTACTTAAACTTGTGAAGCCAATTGCGCAAAGTCCATAACTTATTAAGACTACAATGAATCCGCTAGTTCAGGTACGTACAGGAAAGTTTGATGAGAGCTACATTTGCGTAAATAGAGTATATTTCACCGAATTCTATATGTTATAGACCCATGCATATTTATTGACTAAATTCCTGCTTATTTTATCGCAAAATTGATTAATTGTAACAGTTTTAACGTTTGGCGCAGTTATTTACAACATTTACAAAACCTATTTTTATCAATATTCCCTTGTCAAGCTTCTTCAAGGTTCAAAGTTTAATAACTTTTAACCTGCATAACAAAGTCCATTACATTAATGTGTCAACATCCACTGCGAAATATATTAAATGGTCAGTAATTAGTTTACATTTTAGGGGAAAATTTAAGCTTTTGGGAGTTTAATTAGGCTTTGAATAAAGGCAGTAATCATAGAAATCCTTACAAAGTTCATGTGGTCTAAAAATACAATTACCATAACATGTATATATGATCAGTGATCACGCTGAGCTGTTCTATTCTGCAGATAGCACGTGTCACCAGCCGTCCAGCCTACAGGAGGTTATCGACTGCTAAACCCATTCCATCTACTGGTGTTTGCTTCGGTATGTTCTTCATTGCTTTTTATCTATATTCTGAATAATAATTTATTATTAAAAACGGCAGTATTAGTCATCATGCCTGAATTCTATGTATAATATGACAATTATATAGATTTTAAGACTTTCGTGGTTATTTACTAAATGATTATCACTAATATCAGGTTTCTTACCACGGTATTGCTTCTTTTTATTTTCCCGATATTGCCAGTCAACCCGTGACCATGGAGCGTGCAACCGATCCGAAATATCGGGAAAATAAAAAGAAGTCTGTGTTAAGAAACCTGATATTAGTAATAATCATTTAAAATGACAATTGTTTGTATTTTGTTTTTATATTCTAGTTTATTTGTAGAAAACATAAATAAGGGACATTGTAAATTATATAGGAAATGAAACTATTTTTCCAGATTGAAATTGCATATATTTGTTTTTTCAAACAAACCACTGTCCCATGGTCACGGTTGACTGAAGTGGTACAGTCGTCAACCAGTTACATCTAATATTAATGCAAACCACCCTATTTTTTCACTATAGTTACAAAAGTTATTCATTAAATACCTAGTTTTTAATTTTACAAAGAAATATTCCAATTTATACTACATTGTCTTACAAATTATGTTATTGTAACAATATGAATTTTGATTAAGTTAAATTGATTATTAATTAATAATGGAAATTAGAATAAATTAAAACATATTGATTAGTACTGCAGTCTTATGTCTGTTTGGGATTTTTCATCAGAGGAAATACAGGATCCCATACTGGTGGTATGGAGAAACCAACTTCCCTTTTGAAATTAGGATGTTTTTTAATTTCAATGGCCTGTCGCAGTATCCTGGGTAGATAATGGACTTCTTTTGCAAGGACTTGGGGTTTGTCAAACTTCATTGAATGTGTTGGTTTATCCATGACATGCTCGTAGACTGCAGACTTGATTACGCGATGATGTTTGACATCAGCTATATATTCTTTGACATGGGTACAAATTGGTCATTCCAGCGAAAATGACACCGCAGTTCAAAAAAATAAATTATACAATTTGGTTTTAATTGTATGACTGGAATACGCCCAATAAGTCAAATCATTAGAAATGAATGAGATTTTTCTCTCTTTTTCTCCTCGAAGTCTTCCATGAAATAACGGCAACAACAGGAGACACTGGAGAGCCTATCCCTATACTGTCGATTTTTAGGTAGAATTCATTATTCCACAATAGATAGCCTGATGTCAGGCAGTGTTCTAATAATTCTGCATATTTAATGGTCATATTATGTTTTCTTAGCTTTCTACGTACAATTTCAATGCAGTCTTTTACTGGTAGATTGGTGAACAGCGACTGAACATCAAAACCATAGATATAGAAAAAAAGGGGAGATATGGTACGGGGGCGTGGTTCGTGTCGCCTCGATATGGTCAAAATCACCATATCGAGGTGACACGCCTACAAACATCGCCACAGTGTCATGGCGATCATTGTACATACAAGATCTCTCGTAAAACGTGAAAATGCCAAGTAGCGATACACTTTGTAAAAATTGGAGTGAAAATAAAAATTTTAAAACCAGTGAGATAACATTCCACTGGCTACTTGCATTTTTAGTTACTATTTCTATTATTATTCAATGTTTTCTTTTTCTCTCCATAGAAATTTCTAGACTCAAATATAGTGATGTATATTTACGAAGACAGATGTTTATCGACAATAAATTTTTACTGAAATGTTTGAATTTCTTACTATGATTTTTGTTATTAAAGTCACTAAAATATCGAAGCGAAAAGCATTCACGTTAAATTGATTTATTTTATTTTATTATTTTTATTATTACATAACATTATATTTCGAGTAACTTTAACTAAACTCATATTTCGGGCAACCGTTTCAATTTCATGTCAATTTGGATGTGTCTTGAAAAAAAATTTATGTGTTTTAGATATTTAAGATATTTAAATTCCATTATACTCGTAAATTAAACGTAGAGTATCTTTAATTTTTAAGTTTTTCCAATGAGTTTAAAATAAAAGAAGGTTGGATTAAAGCTGCAGGAAAATCGAAAGATTGGTTTTCTTATTACTATTTCTGACTTTGTTTCAATTTCCATGCAGCAAATGCATTTTAAAAATAAATTAAATTTAAATTGGTTTTATTTTACATTACATGCATGTAAAATAAATTAGAAACAATTAGAGAAAATTACATAAATCCTTCATAAAAAAACAACATAATTTAATTTATTAAATTCGTTGATGGTTCGAGTTTACTCTTAACAGCTTCACCAACCCGTGGTAGTGTATAATGGAAAATTGACACTGGCGACTATCGCCATATTTTTTATATTATTCTTATAAAACTGACACTGGTCCAAGCCTAGTGGCCGCCATTAAGAAAATGGGCCATTATTTTATTTTAGGACCAATTTGGAATACGTTTACAGATTTTTTTAATTTTTATAAACTTATTATTTATGTACCGTTACATTTTTATTTATGTTTATTAACATTTATATTATTCATTAAATACATTTGCAGCGATAATTTCTGGCTATTTCTTAAAGTTATTGACGTTTTATCGAGGAATGATGAGAAAAAAATACTACTGCGTTACTTTCATACAAAATTATCTTTTATTGTTAGGAACATGTATTTTGGTTCGTAAACATATATCACGTAAAAAGTAAGGACATTATACGTTAATCTTACAAGTTAAATCACAAAATAGTCTCAGTCTAGTTATTTATTTTATAATAAAGTTTCTTACTGCGTTACCAATCAATAAACTTAAATGCAATACTTTTCGAAAAAAGGACTAAATAATAATATTTTTTTGCTTAATGTCTTAAAAATAGCTCCAAATAAGGTGAGTCATAGATATTATTTTTAGTTTAAGTTTATTTTTAATATAGAATAGCTGATATGTTAGTGAATACTATCTGGAAACGAGGGACAAAAAGATAACGCAGTGGTTAATTGGTAACGCAGTGGTTTCTCAATCACAGTCTTTAAACTTTCTTCAATTAAAACTAATCATAATGTAAGAAAACAATCAAACAAAAATAAACAGAACTCTTCGTTAAATAATAAACATTAAAATCTTTGAAAATAATCAACTTATAAACAACTAAAAACAACTTAAATCAACAAAAATATATCTCAACACAAGGTCAGTCTCATTTTTCAAAAATGTTCAATGGCACACTGAATTTGAAGAACTCACGTCTACCCTTTTTAATTATTTTTGGTTTCGGAACTATCTCCAAGATATTTTCATAAGGCTCGTAAGAAATATCTTTCTCCATGGCTTTGAATAGTTTCCCAGAATCATCGACAGATTTGAAAAACATTATCTTTACCTCTCCCTCTTCATCAACACCGCTTTGAGCGACGCCCAGGTAACAATAAGATTTATCTTTGTTAGAGATCACTTTTACTAAGACGTAAACCCCCATGAATGCTTTGGATGGGTGTACATTTTCCTTTTCAATCAGGTCTTTTTCATGTCGATTGGAAACAGAGGCTTCTTGTTCTTTCACGGGTTTAAGTTTCGAAAGAGGCTCGTCATTATCCGTGCTTGAAGAAGAATAAACCATTTCAAAGTAAGCCTTCTTGGAGTGATTCACAATGTTGGTTATATTCTTTAAGACTTCCTCCTCATTCATAGCTTCTGCACAATGGCTTTCTGGAGACTTATTGATGTTTTCCTCAAAATAATTTCTTTTAGGAGGTTGTTCGAATGTGTTACCGAAATCATTCCCTTCTGGAGATAGCCTGATTATGCTGGTAGAAATAGGAATTGGCCGATATCTTTTTGGTGACAAGCAAGCGCAGAAACCTCTCTGACAGAAGCAACTAAGGTCACGGTACTGCAATTCACCTGGAGTATCCGAAAAAACTTGATGTACCTGCATAGTACCACGAAGCGGGATAATATCTTTGGGAACAGTCTGCTCAACCTTTTCAATATCGGCATCAGTCACAAAGTATAGTTGGATTTTGCTGGAGTCTTTCAGAGTGTTGAAAAAAGTCTCTGCGTCAGGAATATCACAGTGAGAGGCCACTTTTCTGTCAGCTGCACGTTTGAGATATCCACCAACACCATCAGCAGCGCCCTTTCCATGGCCTGCTTCGAAAAAGTTCCATGTCATGCGTTCAAAGCCATAATCTTCGAATGTTTTTGTGCAGATGAAATGAAAGTTCAACTTCTGCCGGTACTGAGTTGCGGGTCCGTCGGAGAAGATATGAATGGTTTTTACGTGAGAATGGTTGTCTTTCAGGTAACTAATAACTGGGTGAAGGTGGGCCCAAATGGACGCAGGATTGTGAGAATTATTACCTGATACGGTGCAGAATGAACTGACCTGCAGCTTATATTCACCGTCTTGTTTCATATACATAACTCCAGTATGCAAAGTTACTTGCTTGCGCGATCCTCCAAAATGATGAGACTGGATTTCCTCAAAATGTTTACAGCTGTAATTTTCGCTAAAATCAACATGCAGCACAGCTTCATCACTTTTCAGATCATCTATTGCTTCCCGGTAACTCCTGTACTGTATTTTAATATTATAAATATGTTTTCTTAATGTAACTAGAGCCTCTTTAAATTTATCTGCCAGTTCTGCGACGGTACCTTCGGTAATTTCCTTTATATTTTTTGTAATTTTTACTTTCTTGCCTGATTTGTCAACAATTTCTGTTTTTGTAACCCATTGTTGCCATTTAAGTAATTGGGATTGATCCGGTATTTCGTACTGTATTTCTTTAATTTTACAGGTGTCGCAATTGCCAGTCATGCAAGCTCTGTTATCTGTAGCACACACGGTGTTCTCAATAGCTTGGGTGATGTTAGATTCGGATATAATTTTGTGTCTGTGAAGAGCATTCAACAAGTATTGTGAATTAACATGTGTCTTACATAGACAGGTATCTCTGCCATCAACAGTTGGTGGCTTTATATAAAAGGGTCTTTGCTTGGTAAAGTAAGAGTATGAACATCTCTCGTTAGGATT